GTGTGAACACGAACATTACAAAACAGACTTATCATTAAAGTCCACCAGTAGATTTCTTTCAAAAGTTTTGAAGTCCTTTTGGACAGCTGTGGAATTGACTATCAAGTGGAGGGCTGAGGGGGGATTTGATGGATGGTGAGAGGGAAGAAAGAAGCAGAAATGTGGTAGTAATGATACAAAAGTGTGTTGGAGGAGAGACCAGTTGAAAGGGAGAGGACTCTAAGGATGAGGAGAGTGTGAGCAGAGGCAAATACAGCTCCTCTAAAGTGTTTATTGGTGTGGTGAGAGGCAGGTAGGAATAAAGCCACAGAGACGCAGAATGCAGTGGGAATTTATTAGCGCTACACAACAAAGTGGCACGTTAAAGCTTCCCTCTTATCTGTTAGTCATAGTATTTAACCTCTTTCGTGCATTTGTCAAAACAGCGTCTTCGCCTTTTTTGGTCCTTGTGTCTTTTCTGGAATCTCTATTTGTGGATTCTGCTTTGTGATGTCTTCCAGACAATGGAAATGTTTGGATAGCCTTTCAGATCAAAGCATGGTTCCCCTCAGAGATGGTGTGTGTTGAGCGCGATCTTAGGATTTATGCACTTTAAAGTTCAGCACCGAACATCCTTGGGGACCTCACTATGAGGGCACTTTTCTGTGTGTGTATATGTGTGTGTGTGTGTGTGTGCGAGTCTGAGTGTCCTTACGAGCCTGTCAGCCTTTTCTCGCGGTCTTTAAGATTACATTTGATCAGTTTAAAATTGCACTAATGATGTCTTGTTCATGATAGAATTGAACCTGCTTGTTTGCACTTGGCTTTCTTTTTTCTCTTCGAAGTGAGGACAACTTCTCATTTTAGGAGATGAGAGGATAAGTAAAAATGATAAAACTGCGCTCTATCACATAACCTGTAAGAGATTAACATCTTAAATATTATCTACACAACTCTGATGGAAATCTTCCGGTAGGACAGTTGGGGTCAGTTATCTGGTTAGTATCTGGTTTCTGCCAACCAGCTCGTTCAGTCACTTCCTGTTTCTCTCTGAGCTTTCCCCATCTTCTGCCATCCTCAGCAGTGCAGATGTGACCACTGTGTCGTAAAAAGTCCTCAGCAAGGTCCTGCAAACATTGAAACGCCTTCCCCTCATTGGTCGGAGTCAGTTTCCTGAAACAGGACATATGTGTTATTGGTCCAGTTCATCTAATTGGAAAAAAATCAACACCCAGGGACATGAAGTCATACACAGTAAGACTGTTACTTTACCTTTATTTGGAACTTAAGCAGCATGTCCTTTGTTTTGCTGGCATTGATGAGCAGGTGGTTATATCCGCACCAGTCAATGAAGCTGAGGAGGACCTTCCTGTTTTCCTGCTCATGTCCAGTGACACACTGCGTCATAAGGGAACTCCAGGAGGTGATAGCTGCTGATGTTGTGTCTGAACAATAGCTTAGATAGGGAAGGGGAGAGGACTGGGCCCTGATGAGCCCTACTTGTGTTTTTTATAGTTATATAGTATCCAAATTTGTCTTTTTTCCATCTTCCTTTTGATTCGTTATAATTGATTTCAGCAAATAATTTAAAGTGATGTTTTCTATAGTTTAATTAGGTTACTCAACAAGTATTCTCAAGCATTTAATGACTCCTGTAACAGCTGCACTTTGTCTGTTAACCCACACAATCTTTTACATGTAAATCTCGCTTTTTGATCACGTTTTCATCAAAATGACAGTATTTAATCAAAACCTGGGCATCATTCTGAAAGCTTTTTGCATTTCACGGTGATACATTGTACCATTTCATCGGGACTTTGTTGCTCTGAAATCATAGTTAGACTTTTCCCACTGTCAGCCCACTAATTTGTTTACCATTGAGACTTCAAACTCCATTTGAGACTGTCATTCTGGCCTCAAGGCGGAGATGAAACAGCAGGACCACCTTGCACTCAGCATGAGAACTGGCCCCTCGAGTTTTCGAGTCTGCTGTGTCGCTCATAACTCCTCTGTTTTTAATTAGCTCCTTCAATTGGGGAATGTGGCAGCAGAATTGCCGCCTGCAAGGTAATTTCAGTGGAAGATTCTTTTCTTTTCCTCTGCCCCTGCACAATCTTCCTGGGAACGTGGGGAACAATCAACGTGTCCAGAGGAGACCCATAATTTAGATGTTGCGCTTTTGATTTTTTTTCTTTTTTCTCCCTCCTTTTTTTTTGTCAAAGATCACTTGGTAGCCCACTCACTGAGTGCCAGACTGTGAATTATAAGATTATTTAGTAAGCTATTTAAGAGTCTCAACAGAGACTCTTTCACAGTGGGAAAAAGTATTGAGCAGGATTTGACACCAACCCCCGCTTGTCAGACTTTGCTGTCATAAGAGGAAATGGAAAGAGATTTACTGTAAAGGCCATACCATCCTGTTTCCATTTCGTCGTAATGCCTGATGTTAGGTGGCATACTTAGCGGGTTAAAACTAAATTATGCTCTCACTTAGAGCGATCTATTACAGAATGGGTGTCTGCATGTGTATGGAAGGGTTTTAGACGGGCTTCGAGAAATTGATTTAGATGTAGGCAGTTTACAAAAATGGACGCTAGCACATGTATATGGGAATGACGGGGAAGAAAGTGAGATGCAGTTCTGAGAATAGATGTGAAGAAAAACAAAAGCCATATGGAAAAAGATAGAAAAAAACAACCACACAAAGATGATCAATAAGTGTACAGATGCAGCTGGAGGGAGAAGGAAGAATACTCCTGGATGAAATGCAAAGAAATAGAGAGGTGTTTCTGCATGAGGATGATCCTGACCCCACAGCAGATCAGCCTTTGGGGATGTTCACAAGTGAAAACTCTGCTCCACATGTGGTGCTTGTGGAGCTGATGCTTCACGGTTGTAACTCGTTTGAACATTTCTTTGGGTAATAGTCTCCATCTGGGACTTTGATTGAGTACCTGAACTGCAGCAAAAACATGCCTGTACTCAGAACAAACATTCACTTAACATATCTGATTGCTCTTAAATTACAAAATCCTGCTATTTTTTGTTTTTTTTCCCTTTTTCTTAGTTATAAATATTTGAAGTTTTTCTTTCTTAGACTTGCAGCTCCTTTGTTCTTATGTTTTTTGGTAATGTATCTTTAAATGGATTTCAAAATATCAGCACCAATTCTAGCAGTGATGTCAGGAGTTGAATAGCCACACGTCTGTGACAAAAATGGTTCAATAAGTAAATGTATCCATAGAATACATACTTCTTATTAAGAAGACAACTAAGAACAGAACAGGAACAAAGTTTGTATGATCCTAAAAAATTATTCCAGGTATTTGCTTCAGAAAGTTTGAAATAGGCCAATTCTCTCCTGATGGCACTGCATGATGCATAATGGTGAAACCTGGAGTGGGTAAAATTGTGCACAGCAGTGTATATTTATGCAGATTAAAGAGGACAAATTGTGAATGGCCAAGTTTGGAAAAAGTTCAAAAGTACGTTTTCCGTTTCAATTCTTGTTTTATGTAAATTTAAGCTTACAATTGCACTTGTTGAGGCCAATTGTAGGACTACAGCCTCAAGGGAAAAACAGCCATGTAGACAATTATAGAACAAGCTCACCCTCTGTGTAATGTGCGGTCATTAGTCATAACATAACATGTTTACCTGGACCTTGGCAGAAGTTTCAGTAGTAACAGAATGCGCAAAGGTTGACTGTATCAAAAGAGGAGGTTGAGGTTGAATTTTGTTGCTATGCTCATGTTTGCCCCCATTTGTCTGTATAAATATAGTTTTTCCCATTTAAATGTGCAGTGTTTTACTTCCAGGAAGTACCAATCAAATATGAGGATGAGGATCCAGTGGAATTTTAGATTGGTTAAAATGTTGATTTTGTATTTTTTCACTAGTAATGGATGACAAAACCAGCTAGCATTGCTTAACTAATTGTGTTCAAGCTTTTGCCCCAACCCCCAGCAAACACATTTTTTGGGGAAATCACAAAAAGGATACTTGAGAGCCCCGTCTACTGACTGGTAGCCTGTAATGTCTATAAAAAAAACACGAGGACTTGCCTCTGCCTTTCTTTTGTAGTTAGTTATGGTAAAACACATTTTGCCTCACAGGAGCCAATTTAACGCAAATATACATCAAGTGAAACCATAATGTGCAATGCTAAACATCATATCTGCAGTAGGCGAAAAACCACTTACAAAAAAGTAATTTATTCAGTTTCTCAATGGCTTCTCATTTAAAATCTAAGCAAATACTGGCTTTTTACTGTTTTTCAGCATGTCTCTATGTGTAAATAGTAATAAGTAAGATAATATAGGATAAATTAAACAGTCTACAATTGCACTTTGCAACCAAATTAACCACACTAGAAACCAAAACTACAATAGGCAGCAAGAAAAAGAACAGAGAAAACAAGTTTGACAGATCTGCTTTTACTGGCTGTATTTTGTTTGTCCTTTCTGTTTTAATGTGGTATGGGTGAGGATGACATTTGTAGATTTTTACATTATTTTATAATGAGGACATAATTTACCTTAAATGTTAAAATCTGACATTTTAAGATGTTGCAATTAAATTGCCAGAAAACGCTTATTGTTTTTGTTATATTTGTTTGTTTTACTGGTTTTCCATATATCTTTTTATCTAATTGTTTTAAATGCAATTAGGTGTGTATCTGTGTCACAGTGGATTCCCCCCATATATTGGCTCCCTACAGGCTTTCTGGCTAATGTGTTGTCTTTCTCTCTGTGTATCTTTCTGTTTTTATGAATGTGTGTTTGTGTTTTTATTTATTTAATTTTTTTTTGCCTTTCTCTTAATTTTTGCCACATTCGGCCTGCCATTTACTTTCTTTGCTTTTCTCGTCGTTTGAGCGTGTGTCCATCCGCCATCGTTGAATGTGTGCTTTTAAATGTCTGTTTGCGTGTCTCTGTCTATCAACATATGACTGTGCATCTCTTTTTTTATATGTTTGTTCCTGTTTTTGTCTGCTTTTTCCACGTGCCGCTGTCTCCATAATGTCCCCTCCTCCAGCCTTTGTGACTTTGCTGAACGGGGACCAGGCTCAGGATGCCATCCGCTCCCTCCACCACAGCACTGTACGAGGACGTTTGATCAACGTCACCCTGCAGCCCACCGACTCCCTGCTGTGCCTCACCAACCTGCCCCACACCTTCACCGCACAGCAGTTCGAGGAGCTGGTGCGCGCCTTCGGAAACATCGAGCGCTCCTTCTTGGTGTACAGTGACCTTAGTGGCCACTCCAAGGGATACGGGTTTGTCGAATACATGAAGAAGGACTCTGCTTCCCGGGCTCGCTCTGAGCTGCTGGGTCGGCCTATGGTACGATAGACCGAAACATGCAGTTTCAAATAAATCTGACAGAAGTATCTTAAACGTAATAAGTGCTTTTTTTGTTAGTTTTTTTTTTGATGTCCTGAATCATGAAGAGATTAAAAGATTTAGCTTAAATTGTGTGTAACTGTGAATGTAACTGTGCTGGATGATAACTCAAAGTAAGCTACACAGTTATATAATTCTAAGTAAAGAGCTGTTTGCGTAATTTTACTGAAACATAACCAAAATAGTGATACATTGACATTTTTGGTTGCATCACCAAGTAGGTCATACACAAATCTCAATTTAATATTTCACACACCACCACCATATGACAGTAATATATGAAACTGTCAGTGTAGGGGAGAACCTGTAATCGGCACAAATTTGGACTCTGCTTGTTGAGTTTGCCCAACTAAAATATGATGTGACGTTGCAATGTAAACACCAAAATTTATAAGCAGAAATGCTAAGAGCAAAATTTCCTCCCACTCCTTTTAGTGCTCGAAAATGAGTTTCCCACTTTTAATTTTGTGGTTGCATTGGTCATGAAACACAATTTAGAGGCAGCTCGAGTGATGACAGGTTTCTGAATTAGCACTAACAACAAGTTCATCTCTGTTCACATGAATTGTATCTAGTGCGGAACTTGGATTGTGCTTGTGATGTTGTTAATCACATTCAGTGTCACAATTCTGAATGTTGCAGGGGGATCGCAGCTTGATGGTACAATGGATGGATGTCAACCAACTGAGCCAAGAGGAGAACTTGCACTCAAGGTGTCTGTGTGTGGACCGACTACCGCTGGACCTGTGTGACTCTGAGGAACTGAACCAGCTCTTCTCTGAAACCTACAAACCTGTCTTCTGCCAGGTAAGATCCCACGACTATTTTCTGTCTAACTACATCACAAAACGCTCAGTTACATACATTCTCAGCATGTTTTCAGTACAGATCTGCTATGTATAAATTCGATTTTTTTGTTGAATCTTTTGAATTCCTCATATTCTGCTGGCAGATGTGTAAAGAAAATGTATTTAACTGTTAATGCCAAACAAACACTGTATATGCTTCTGTCCGGCTCACTGACTTGTGAAACACCCACTTTGAAATGTCCCCTTGCTTCTCCACACACACGTAGAATCGAACACCACCAGGTGAGAGTTACTGATAGAAAATTCAATGGTTCCCATCCCTGTTGGCCTGCTGACGTTTCCATGGTGAGGCGTGGCTGCTGTGGCCCCGCCCTTCAATCCCCTCCCTCCCTTCAATTTTCCCTTTTGCACTTTGCTTCCTGCTCCATCAACTCCTCCCCCACACACCCATTTAAAGTTCACTCAATGGGTATCTGTCATCTACTGCATTTCCAGTTTTAGATCCACCCCTCTGCCTCACTCCTACATAGAAATCAATACACCCACATCATCCTGGTCCCATAATGCTTTGTGGGTGTTTAGTTCATGTTGCCTCACCGTTGCAGAGCCAGCAGGCTTTGACCTATAGTTCAGTGATTTTTGTTTATTTATTTGTTTTTTATGTACAGTGCATTATGTGCTTGTGAGTGTGTTGCTGGTTTTTAACATCCATTGATACTGAATGTGCGAGCAGCATGAAGCCTGCTGAAAGGATTTGGACCAGCTGCCAGTGTCTGGAATAGTGCTGCGATTCTTTCCTTCCATTTTCTATACATTTTATAATGTTAGAATTTTATATGGAAAAATATTGATGTAGTTTGTTTCATTTCATTATTTTACTATCACAGGAAATTAAACAGTTTGTTTATGATTGGATCTCTGTCCAACAGCGTCTCACAAAGATAAAGCTAAGGACATTTAGAATATCGGAATGAGAGATTTTATAGAGCAATTTTACCACCACCCAAGTTTACTTTTTCCCCCCCTTCAGCTTCAGCAATAACCTCCTGTTTGGTTTTTGTTTTCGTTGAAGCCTCTGATTGAACACACTATGGCTGTCATCGTCAGCACCAGCTCCAGAACAAGAGCAAACTGGAGCGGTCATCCCACATATCAGCTAACACCATCTAGCAACAGTCTGGACCTTCAGGCTTGTTCGAGTTCAGTTTTGTCCAGCTGCTTCTTCACCTAACTGCCGGAGAAGATGACATGTCGCTCCAAGTTTGTGACAGGTTGAAATTCTCTGTTGAACGAGTTGACAGTCTGTAGGGAAGCTGGAGGTGTACGGAAGAGAAAGAGGCACTGGAAATTTTCATATCCACCATTAATGTGTTGGATTGTTATGTTCGTAACCAGGCAACTCATCAGCTCATGACGTCCCACCCTTGGCTGTGGTGGCAGGTAGTACATGGGCTGCTACAAGAATAGCACAGAACTGTTTGGAGATGTTATCAACATAAATTCACCACTAGCAGTTCAGTGCCCTGTGAGCCATCCCTCTCCTTCAAAGTGGCATGTCCACAATTACAAGGTCTCATTTTGGCAGACACTGAGATAACCACATCTCTGCTTTAGCCACTAATGTCTCTGGGAGGTTCTTTTTTTTAAGGTTTGCTAAAAAAGTGTTTGAATCTGGCATGTAAAAGTCTCAGTGAAACTCTGTCCTTTATTTTATTACTTTATTTTAGAGTCTTTCTGAGTTATGCCTTTTTATTTTTCTGGCACTGACATTTCCCATCAGTATGTATGAAGACTTAGCATGAACTTCCTCCATGCAATTCTCCATCCTGCTCATATGTGTGTAAAAATAGCTGAAATTACTCCTTAAGTTTTGCTGCTTAATGATTTGGTCATGAGAATGTTGTTATATAGTCGTGATTTTGGCAGTCATTAAATATTATGAGTGAAACACACACAGACTACATTTTATCACATTTGCAGTTACATAAATTATGTGAGGACAAGCTATAAACTTGTTAATGTGTTAATTAAGGATTGATGATTTAGTAGCAATTTGCTAAGTAGGAGAGGAAAAACAGTCAGTGTTTTCTATTTCAAACTGTAGTGCATGGTTATTGCTTTTATCTGCCAATTAAATTTTTGTCTGTGCACACAAACCACTTCAATAAAACTATGAGTTTATAAGAAAAATTGTCATAATAGCACTAGTAGATCTTAATGTTCTTCAATATGACTTTTTTTTTTTACCCATGTGTGTTGAGGCTTTGTTGAGATGTTTTAACAAAAACAGTGGCATGTTGGACACCTGAACACCGAAACCTGAAATCATTAGTTCCTTAAAGCTGTAACAGTTTGTGTTTTTCAGTTAAACAAAAGTACATCAGCTTCTCCCCCAGTTGGACTACTCTTAGGCCCTTAAATCACTGCTGCTAACAATAAGCACGTGGTTATTTGGTTTCTTTGCCGGATAATTTTTTGTAGATCATTAGTGAATGTAAGACTGTCTTCGGCTCCAGTTAGCCTACATAAATACCCTTCCTCCTCCGTGCTCATTGGTAGAACTCAGCCCTCTTGACACTTTTCCTTTGTTCGGAGTGCACTTAACCTGTGGCATTGCCCTGAGCGCTGCAATTCTGCCACCCACGAAAGGGTCCTCCAGACGGCACTTCTGCTTGAGTTTGCTAGCTGATACGGAGGTAGGAGAGGGTACAAAATGTCAACCATATTAGAGGAAAGGACGGCAGGATGCAGACGAAGGGAGGGATCGGAATAAGGTGAAGACAGAGCTAAAATGCCAGACCTATTTACGAGAAGACGGAGTGATTGGGGATGACTGCCAGTGCTGGGTCTAACAGAGGAATACACAATTGAAGTGAAATGGTCGAGGTGTGGAATAGCTGTAAATTAAGAAAACAGTTAGCCTATAAACGTACTATGAATGAACTGCTGATGGCTCAAAGGAAGTTACACAAATATTTACTTTTAATTAGGAGGTAAAAATGAACAAATGTGGTCAGGCATGCCAGTGTGAATGTCGAGGGATGGACGCGTTGATGGTGTAGAGAGAAACATGTGAAGGGATGGATGGGAGGAATGGAGCACAGGGAGACAGGTTAGAGAGGAGAATAACTCACATTTGACAGGCCCGAGGCAAAAGTGTGTAGAAGATTAAACAGACGGTGTTAACTCAATGTGGCCCAGCTCATGTCATATTGCAGTGAAAAAGACTCACTCACAGCGCACACAGCCTATTCCATACCGTTTTTATTTCCGTTTTTATATCCGAGCATCAATACAAAGACAACAAAAAATTGACTGTACTGGACTATAGTTAGTGATTAGGTTGTGGATTTTGAGAAGGACCATACACGTAAGAAATCCCTCAAACATCATGCAAGTAAAATTTTTTTTTTAGAAGCAGTGTCAAAGAAGTCACAAGAGCTTTCGGAGCACTTCCAAGAAATTATCTCTACTAAAGAGAGCAATACCATCTGAAAGAAGTGTGTATGTTCTTTTTTTCTCCTCAGAATATTGTTTGTGTTGATCATTTTTGGTTTGTCTGAGAAGAAAATGCACAGTGGGGGCACATTAATCTGTTTGTTGTGTTTTAGCAATTCTGGATTTAAAACACTGACTATAATAGGATTAGTTTTTTTAAATGTATTTATTTATTTATATAGATTAAAGTTTACTCACTGAGTTAGACACTAGCTTTTTAATTCAAGCCCAATTTTGATTTTTGAAAAGGGAAAACATGCTAAATGCATCTTAAAAGTTTGGACTGAACTACAGAGGGTTAAAAAGCGAGATTTTAAAAGACAGGAAAAATGTTTAAAGTAGAATCACATGATCTTAAGAAAGATGATTTGATTTAGCCATTCCACATAATTTTACATATCGAAGCCACACTTAAATCTTATGACTTTTCGGCAGCTTTCTCTCTCTCGTGCACATATTCGCCCTCTGCCTGCATTGTTATATTCTCCGTACAGATCAGTGCATTTAAACCTGTCAGTGTGACGGGTCGCATACATTTCTCTACAGGCAGCTGTGGCAGGGCTGCTTTGACCTCATCCCTCGGTTCACACTACTGACATGGCCATTTTAACTCCTTTCCATACTAAACACCCACGCGTTCACACACAAACTGACAGGTCCTCCTCGGAGTCTGAGCCCCACCAGTGACGCAGTCAGCATCTCTTGGCAGGGGACCGTGACTGGAGTTCAGGAGACGTCAGACAGACTGATTGCTCGGTTAGCATCTTTGGCTTTCTGCACTGCAGGCACTTGCTGTCGTCGTCGTCCAAAAGACATTTTGGAAATCATTTCTTTGTTTTGTGTTCTCATTGCTCCTCACATTTCACTGGCTTCTTGTTAGCCTGTCGAACATTCTGAAAGATGCGCAAAAATGTAAATCTTTGACAAATCATCCTTCTTGGCCTTAAGGGTTAAAAATTTTAGTCCCACTTTTCTGGCACTGAGCCATTTGATAATGTCATCATCAGCCAACAACGTTCACTGACTGGCATCTTCTTTAGCAAAAGTAATAAAGGGTTAGCGTAAAAGTGAAAGAGTTGAAGCAGGTGAGACGCACATCATAAAAAAGCTGCATCAGCACTTTCAGTTGTCTAGTAATGGGCCGGTATTCCAAAACATTCCAGAGAAAAGACATGTTAATATGACAACATGAGGGGATGGTATTACAGTTAACCCAAAGGTTTCATTCTTCTCACAGATGGTCAGGCCAGGTTACAACTGTTTCCTGAGCAGTGAACAACCCATGGGAAACAGATCAAACTATAAGAAAAGAAAGAGATCACACCACTGGATTTCATCAGTTTTTTCTCAGAGTTATTGCCGATTTGGCTCCAGCTCCAGCATGCCCAGTGAAAATGGGCCTGTGGCCGACCTAGAGCTGATTAAAGCCTTGTCTACTGTACAGTTATGTGATGCAGAACAGAATGGCAGTGAAAGGCTCTCACAGTGTGTGTAAGAGCCAGATGCTAACAGTTATTAGCAGGTCATTTTGGCCAGTGTGAAATTGGGCTGTGTTGTAGTATATTGGTGACATTTCACCAGAAGTGTCTCATTAATCCACTACAAGACAATTAGTGCATTAACCAAACACCATTTCCCTGCAGCAACTGACATTACCATTTTTCTCTAATATGTTGACCATTGATGGAACAGAGTGCCCAGTTTTAAATTTACAACTTTTATCTTCTAATCTCTTATCATGAAGGGGTCCCGCTCAACACGCACATCCCATAATGTGATACCAGAAGAAGATTCATATTCCTCAAGGATATTTGTTTGGCAAAAAAATGATAAACATCTGCTTAAGATGTAATGAATAACTAATATTAAATGGTTTTATTCTAATTTTGATATCAGCAGATGATTGTTTTGTTTTCTTGAGAGAACAAAGCTAATTTCACTGAGATAACAAGTCAGTTTATCTCATTATCATCAGGTGAAGCTAATGGACCTGTGGTCTCAAGAAAATTAGCTTTGTTTTCTTGTGTGAATGAAAAAAATGGATAATTAAAGAGAATCCATAGGGGAAAAAACAAATCAAGCTAAAACTAAGCAGTTTTTTTTTTTTTGGTTTGCTAAAGCTATATTAAAGCGGATAACATATCTGATGTTTGGCCCCCAAATATGAGAGGTCAACCAATTCTAACAAAATGCTGATAAAATTATACCAGTCATCACACAATTTTTTTTAATCCTTCTCGGCTGTTGTAGTTTCCTTAACGTCCTGCACAAGTAAAAAATGTATTGCACGTCTGTTTTATAATTCAAGCCCTGAAGACATTTTAGACTTTGAGTGTCATGGTGAACTCGCAGCACTCTTTTTTTGTTACAGTCAAAATGTCTTTCTTTGCCTAATCTGGTATTTAACCATATTTTCCTGTTTGCCAAGACCTTATAATTAAACCAGACATAGCATAATTGTACATTTGCCAGAATAAAGAAATATTCTGGGGCAAATACCGTATGTTTTCATTAAAAAAAGATGTTAGAGGGTGAAATATAAGGTGCCAATGTTCTGCAGTTAATTATTCTTACAATACGCCTTCAGGAAATATTTCTTACTTTTTTCCTTCATTACAGAGACAGAAAAATCCTTAGCAAAAAAAAGGGGGGGGGGTCCATCTCAAATCCCCACACACTGGGAAATATTTGCTCTTCATATGTGACTGTTGTCCAACACTTTAGATTTGAACAGATCTGCATTTATCATTTGCTATACTTTCCAACCATCAAATGGTGCCGGGCTATAGAGTTATCAAAAAATGTAATCACAGTTAAATGTATACCTTTTTTTTGGCAATCTGTAGATCTTGGTTCAATTTTCATTGCTTTTCTCTAATTTGGGTTAGAAATGTATATTGTTTCTTGATATGTTCAGAAAAGTGATGGTAGATGGTATTGCTTTGTTTAATAAGCTGTTTTTAGGTTAACTTTATTTTTTATGTTGCATTTTTTATTATTGTACTTTTGAAATTGACAATAGAAAAAATATGTTTATATATGAAGACTGAGATTAATAGAAAAACAGAAACTATTTTTATTGTCAGCCTTTCCATCAAATCATATTTCTTAACATTTGTATGCTTATTGAGAAACTCAATGGAAGCTGACTCTTTTTCCAAGGATGCATTTTTTTCCCTTTTTTACAGAATCCCTTTCTTGTCCAGATTTAGTTCTTTCATACACGCAAGAAAAAAAAGAGTCAATTTTAATTCAGTCTGGCTCACATCATCTGCCTCTTTTTTTTCATTTTCTCCACTTGTCAGTCACTTAATCCTCCACTGATGGGTTCTTCCTCCTATTTCCTCTTCTTTATCCTCTTCTGCCATTTTCATTCTCTTTCCTCTCCTTCTCTCCACCATCCAGCCATCCTCAAGTGGTAAAGTGGTTCAGATTATTCTATGCAGTTTGTTTGATATATGCTGTTGATAATAGCCTATCGACCCACTCCAAATATGCATTTTCTCTCCATCCATCCTTCCATCAGTCCATTTATCCATTTATCCATCCATCTTCTGCACAGACTAGAGGGAACAGCAGACAAATGAGAGGGAGGAGGTAGAGGTCCTCTTGACTGAATGCTGATGCTATGGTATCAGGCATTAACGCTCTCTGATTCATTAACTATACATGTAATTGTTGCATGTGGATATTTATTTGATCATGTTGCACGTGCTACCAATATTATTTTTCCATGGTTAGTTCAGAAAAGCTTTAATGAAGAAAACAGGCAGCAGAACTGATAGAACAGTCCTAATTCTAGTCATAAATGGCTCAGATTATTTGGATACACTGTGAAAAATTAATGAATAGATAACTAAATGCAGTTGAAAAAAAAGTACCGTACAGTAGTTTATAATAGAGAATAAATTATTCAATTTAAATGGCAGAAAATGTTGATCAGCTCATGAACACAAACCGGTGCTAACATATACCATCCACCCACCCGCTCCACCCTGCTGCTTGCTGGTTTTTCTCTTGCGAGCACTACAACTTTGCTCCATGCTGAATTCCAGCTCTAAATGCCTAGTCTTTTGTGTATTCACATCTGTGAGCTGTTTTGTGCTTGACTCTGTACTATGCAACTCTGCAGGGGTTTTTAATGCCCTTAAGAAATCTCCTACTCGTAGTGGAGTTCATTGGCATGGCTACCTTCAGAGGCCGAGGACATTGTATCAGCGCAGTAATAAAGAGAAATAAAAGACGGTAGAAAGAAAGAGTGTAGCTTTTTTTGTGTGTAAGGCCAGGTAGCACATTAATGTACAGAATCTGACTTCAAGACGCAATATGTTCTGTATGATTGCTATTTTCCTGTACAGGCTGTCAAACATGCGAGGCACATTTAGTTTATGCAAAGTAGGCTTTGATTGTAGATATTTTGAAAACATTCATGACTCATGCTGACTAAATGGAACTCGCGGGCAAAATGTCAAAAAGAAGGGGAAAAAAATGCAGACAAGTATAGCTTTGGTTTTTGTTTTTTGTCCATCTGTTTCAAATGCCAGAAATGCTTTTTTCCTGGAAACCCCTCATGACCACTAGTATGGTGGAATTTTAAATTGCTTCTTGTCACTTGAGTCGTTTCAGAGGAATCAAACGGTGCAAAAAACATAAAACCAACACAGACGGGCAATTTTTGTCCGTTTGATCTTGCCTGTAATTTGAACCATTTGAGTCGCATTTCTTTGAAAAGATCTGCTGGTGCTCATCATTTTCAGATGTGTTCCGTACACAATACACATAATGGCCTGAATTTGTTAGAGTTTTACATTAATAGTTAGAATTCTATGGGGTTTTTTTCTCTTTGAATGCTGGGCACGGGATTTCTCATGCTATCCAGAAACTGACCTATCAGCATGAGCAGCATGACTATTCCACATCACACAGTGGTAAGCCTTATTTGTGACAGTCAAACATCCAAAAAAGACACGACTATTTCAGTGTTCCTCCTGTGTATGTTCTTTCAAAATGGAACTGCTCTAGCAACAGTTAAGAGGTGTGTTTGGGCCTCAGACCATTAGCTTTTAGGCATTTTCATTACCTAACGTCTTCCATTAGCTTTAAGCCATTAACCTGCCTGCATTATTTAGCTGTTTGTCAGACACTGAAAGTGACTTAACTTTTTTTTTTCCTCTCTAAGTGATCAGTAAGTGGTCTGTGGCCTTAAAAGATCAAGTAATTGATCAGTTATAAGGATATTCAACTTTAAAGTCTGACATTGCACTTAATGAAAGTCAGAAGCAGCATGTTACAACAGTTTCCATTTTTTCTTGTCATGGGTTGTTTGTGTGTCCCTGGAGCATTCCAAGATTAAATCTTTTTTTTTTGTCATTTTGTTAATCCACCCTATTTGATAAGATGAGCAGAAATTAACATTTTCGCTTGTGCTATTATCATTGTACCTTTCTAAGAAATTGGTTAACTGTCATAGTTACTTGGGATGTTTTTTGTCCTGTTCTGAAGAATCTTTTGTGTTGAGTAGTATTCCTAGATGGTGCTAAAAATTTGGTGCTGATTAAAAAAAAAAGTAACTTCGTAAACCTTGTTTGCTTCCCCTGATGATTTATTAAAATATAATTAAATACAGTTGAAGTTTCTGTGGCATCTGATGAAACATTATGTTCATTTTCTGCTTGTTGGCTTTTTTAATCCCTTTGGCGTGATTTTAAAGTATTCAACAATAGACATTGAAAATCTACCATTGTTTAACTATCTGTGCTGTAACAGCAGAACATACATCAGGTGATCAGCTGAGGTTTGGAGGGTGCAGTATTGTGTCCATTACACAGAATTAGAGGGGAAGGAAATCAATCTTCTTATCTTCAAATAGTCTTCATTATTCAGATGTGGTGGGAAGCCTGATTGTATAGCCAATTTGGCACGGATGGAAGATAATTCGGTCCAGTGTTGTTAGTTTTAGCCATTTCTAATGAGCTGATTGGATCAGCTAACACATTGGAGTCCTTAGTTTTTTCAACTGAGCTGACCCAAGATATCCACTTGTGCACATAACCATTGATTGAATCAAACCCTCTTTGTCCCAGTTACACATATGTTTAGAAAAAAAGGTGAAAGAAAATGTATCTCACCAAAAGCTGAGCTTTAATTCAAGTTTTCTTCAGGAAAGAGCTGCTGCTGACATTCATCATATGTAACCAGTTCATAATGGCTTGAGTGTACGGTTGACAGGCACTGAATTCTGAGGCACTAAAAGTGCTGCCCATCACCATAAAAGTAATTTTCTTTTAATTTTCTATCACACAGCTTGCTCAGGATGAGGGCAGTCCAGTTCGCGGGTTCGGCGTGGTGGAATATGAGAGCGCAGAGCAGGCCGAGGCTGTGCTGATAGAGATGGACCGAACACTGGTGGGAGGACAGGAGGTCCGTCTGTCACTGTGCACCCCCGGCACCTCAGGGAGAAGCACCTTGGCTGCTCTCATTGCTGCCCAGGGTATGGTGAGTATCTAATGCAAAAAACAGAGACATCAGAACTGTCTCAGAATCTCTTTCTGATTAAATCAATTGAAATTCTTCACTTTTTCTGCAGTAATAAGCAGTGGTACACTTGTCACACATACTAACCAGGGAAGCAGACTGGGGTAATCACCGGTGTCTATATTAGATATGCACATTATGGAACAAGCTGTTGTAAAACTCTATTATACACGGGGACAATTTGATAGCTAAACATGAGTATAACTAAAGGAAGCTCCTATTCGACATGTATGTGAGTGACCCTCTCACATCTTTGGTTCTGTTCTTTGGATTCTGGCATCTACAGACAACACAGACAAATGTGTCAAGATTTGTATTTAGCTAACATATGACCAGTTTCCAGTGGTACCTACTCAGCGAGACTTGTCTGTACTTGACATAAATCCTGCATTTGTGTGCAAAACAACAATGAAGCACATTGCGGTGACGTTATACTGGCTGAACCCGATTGTTTGAACACATGTTGGTTCAAATGTAAAGCAGGGTCCAGTCCCGTGAATATGTGGCCTATCAGTGCCTTGCAGGCTTGACTCAGCTCGCTTGGTACTATGAATGAATGGGTGCTAAGACCGTGACTGTTTGGAGGTGATGGCACTTAATGGAAACGCAAAAAAAAAAAGAAAACTTAGCCTTGTGTTTGTAGCACTGTCTCACATTGGTGTTTACATCTCTCGGTATTGAAGATTTTAGGACTGGCCCATTCTGAGCATAACTGCAATGCCTCATAAGTCTGATTTCTTGCTAAAGACTTATTATAAACAGCATTTTCCTTCATTTGCTCTGCAAATACTTTAACTTTGATTAACATTTAACTGCATTTAACATTTAAATAAAATGTTAAATTGCACAGCAGAAAATATACAATGTATTCTGGTTTTTTGCCCTTAATTTTCCACCTAATAAAAGGTTCTTGTAAATTCTGTTTATCTTTGCCTGTTATGTTATAAGGAAAAAAGGCCAGTCAGTTAAAGTTGGACACGAGCTGCTGTGACTCTTTATCAGAGCTAATTTTCCAATTAGGGGGGAGAAAATTAAGAACCATATCAATTTTAAAAACGTGGCATACATTAATTCTTTCATATCTGCAAAACCATACGCTGCATCATCAAAACATTGGTGCCTTCTGTGAAAACAGGAAGATGCAGTCCTATGTAAATCAAATTTTGCACATTCAGTGTTGAGATATTCCGGTGGTTTGACATGGAGCACATGCATGAACACCCTCCGGCTGAGATAATCTTTGTGGTTGTGATGTCCCTCCTACACAGTTCTGTGGTAGCAGTGAGGCACTGACACGATAATTATAGTTCTGTAGACAGATTGGGCTGCTCCACTGTCTCCCAATGCCTGAAATAAACCAAAGTCACCGATTATAATGCAGTAACACTCTTATATACATTCAAACCCTTCGATCTCTGCTAGTTGACCCCATTTTAGGAGTCTTAAATCAGATACATTCATGAAATGTAAAGGTTTCTCTTTGAAATGGAAATAAATGACACATTACAGTGACAATGTATCTCAGATGTAACTAATAACAAAAGGTAGTAATAAAAGGTTTCGACATGCCAAAAGAATCCCTCTCTTGGTTGTGGTTTGGCCTGTCACGGGCCAACAGCTGTGTGTTAATGCTGGTTTGAGGTGATTTTATTTGCAATACGATTGGCAGTATGACAGCAGTTGGATGAAATAAAGGAAAATGGTCCACATGGTTGTCTCCCATTCCATAGAGTTGAGTGACTGATTAACAGTTTCCTCAACTATTAATGTTACACTTTATTTAGAAGCATCAGCAAACTCCAACTTCCACAGCAGCAGGTTTCCACGTTTATTTCAAATAATGTATTGTTAAGTCTCAGATAAACAAACTGCAGTAGTTTTCACACTTCTAATTTAGATGACAACAGTTTCATGGGACACTAGCTTTTAACATTAAACTGTAACTTATTTAAAATCTTAATTTTCCCCATTTCCTTTTTACATTCACTAACACTTGTGTGTTTTCCATCCTCTGCAGAACATGAATAATCAGATGTAAGCTGATGCCTCTTATAGGAATGGGATGAAAATGACAGGCTTTAAAACAGAGTCAAGTGCAATAGATAGAATGACATTGAAAGACAATTTGGTTGAGAAAATAGAACAGAAGGGAAGGAGCTCGCAGACCTAGAGAGACAGAAAACATCTGAGCCTGCAAGTGCTATAGTATGAAATCTGTAGCCTGAGGCCTTTTTGGTATTGCTGAAGAGAATGAGACCAGCTGGTAAAAGAAACCTCAAACCTTTTAGAAAGAGATCAAGACCTTCTCCCAGCCTCAGATCTGCTCCGAGGCAGTTCTATCGTTTTCTCCCGTTGGTTGACTGGGAGTGTGAACACTGAGGACCAGATGGCCTCCTCCTCCCCTCTTCTCCGTCAGTCCTTCTTACACGATACTTCTCACCTTCCCTTCTTCGCGGCTTCCTTACCTCCCTGGCGTGCGCGTGTGGGTGTGTGGCTGGATTTTGTGCCAGTAGCCAAACAGACTGATGCATGCTGACATTTTCCCTGGCAGGAAAAAAAAAAACGAAAAAAAACGAGAGAGCTTTCCTCCTCCTCATGTCCTCCTCCTCTTTCGTTGAAAGGCGCTGTCGGCTACGACTGGCCTTGTTCAGCGCCACAGCACACGCAAATGCCAGCTCTCTCTTCTAAAACACACAAACACACACACGGTACTCGAATAGACTCTCCTATTTCCCTCATTCCGACTGGATGGAGTCAAACACACTCAGTCCCCATCAGTAGAGCTCAGTCTTTGAGATTTGACAAGGGGGAAAACGAGCTGGCATCATGATGTGGCTGAGGGGCAGACGAGAGGGAGGTATCGCCATCCTGCTTTTGTTGTTTGAAATATCTGTGTCTTCTGGCCAGCCAGTGAAAACCGCCACCAGGCAATCGGTGCCGAAGCTTTAGCTGAGCAAGATCTGATCTCTTTGATTTGAAGCTGTCTAATTGAGTGTGATTTCATTTTAGCCTATTGAATTAGATTTGACTATAATGAGTGATTGAGTTCTCATTTGAGTCTGTGCTTTACAGTATGCCATTCAGCTGGAATCTCCTCAGCTTCAGGGGAATTCAGCTAATGTCAGATTGAATATCGGCTTTACTGGTAATGAGAGACAAAATGTTATTGAGAAAAAAAGAAGAGAGAGCCCCTGATGGGGTTTCATATGTGATTAGAGCTAAATTAAATAGAGGTGATGAAAACACATTCTGATCACTGTCAGTTCGAGTTTAACCTCTATATTTGCAACATGGACACGTTATAAAGGACAATGTTTGATGCATTTTTAGAATTTTTTAAATGCTCATGTTTTCGGATTAGCATTGAAATCATGGCACAGGGTCAGGAGTCTATCTGAGCTCCTCTTACATGTATTCCAACATTCCAGCGGCTAATCTGTGATCACATTCTTAAAGACTGCAAAGGTTTTATTTTTGTTTGTCCTTTTCACTTCTCTGCTCCATGCCACAGTTGCAGCAGATGGGAGAAATCCAGTCGTCTTTCTTTTATCTTTTTACGACACCAACTTTTAAAATTAGAAGATAATTAAATTATATTTGAATGGGGACTTTCTTATGTCCTAAAGAAAACTTTTCCACTCCCATTTCTTTTGTTGGCTCGTCTTTAGTAAACTCCCTTCAACCCGACTTCTCCAGTCCCCCTCTGTTCTCAGTATGATCCTCCACTGCTGATATTGCCAAAAGATATATGATGTAAGCTAGTGTAATGATAACTAAAGCCATCAGGGGCTTCAAATGACAAGATCAAAACACATTCTATACTTAACACACACACACAAACACATCATCAACTTTCTTTCCAACTTGTTCATGGGCTTTTTTCTCTCCTTCAGATCCTGAGTAATAGGAAAGGTTTGCTACCAGAACCAAATCTGGCTCAGCTGCTGACCAGTATGACCAACCCAGCGGCCCTGCAGATCCTTATGAGACCGCACCACGGTGGGAAAAGAGGAGGTGGGACTGAAAATGATTATCTCAAGTGTTGCTGCATGCAGATAATGATAAAGTATTTTATACTAAACCCGAGCAGTCTTATGTTGAAATGTTGAAATGTTTCTCCTGTGGAGAGGGGGCTTGCTAACAGACCCATGATTGATAACCTGCATTAAAGGATTAGAAATGGAAATGTACACAGTTTGAAAATGAAAAAGAATTCAAACATCAGGCAAAACAATGGACAGTTGGGGTGGCTGTACCAAAAACCAAAGCAACCATCGCCTGAACTGAAACTTAAAAAATTAGGCTCGACTATATAAAAGTTAGAATGTATTACGGAGTACAAGTACAGAATGTTAGCACAGATCGCAGCTGGAGATGGGATGTGGCCACTTCAAGTTAAATACTGGGTGAAGAGAGCAGACCACCTTCTGTGCAGTGAAATCACAGTGGAGTGATTGTAAAACAATAACAAAGGCTCAGGGAGCATTTGGCCTCATTCAGTAGATTTATCAAGTCAGAAAATACTCAATTCTGCCTTTTCTTCCCTTTTAAAATTCCAAAAGTTTGAGTAGTGTTTGCTTGAAAATCACTTGTTAAAGAGCATCTTAAAACTTTTCCTCATTAAAACTTACATCCACAGTGCAAATTTCCAATAATCTCTTATATTTTAAAGCTCTCCAGTAGTCTGAACTATTCCATTTCAACAATCTCTCCACTCTTTGGAGACTCTGCTGCTAATCACTGATCCACTGTCTGCCTGTCCCTCTGTTAGGCCTGACTACATAGGCTACTGTAATCACCCCGTCTTCATTATTTGATGAATGGCTAATCAGGTATTAAAATGAAATCGTGTGACATTAGTGGAACAAATGAGAACAGGAAAGAGAGAAGATAGGAGAGGTAGGGAGCTCTCTTAAACAAGAGCACACACAATTAAAGTCTAAAATTAGGACCTTGATTAAATGTTAAACTTTCTGCACCTCTTCTGGCAGGGCCTACCATTAGTATTGGCACTTACATTTATTATGAGGAGCCCTTGCTATTCGGAGGTAACACTCATGTGTTACGATTAAACATTTGAATAGTGTCTTAGTTTCTTAATCCCACAACTCTACCTTTGCGCTTTCCTTGGAAGAAGGGCAAAAGTATTACTGGACATAATGTGACATGGATGGAGGTGTATATAAACAAAACTAGATATTTATCAAGACTTTATACATATCACATGAACACAAAAGCATTGGTACAGTTGATATAATAGCAACAGATACTCCGGGGCCAATTTTAGCTGATGCAAATTATGTCCAGGAGAACTATGCAAAGTAACGCAGGTCAGTCCTAGTTGGTTATGGACTGTTTGTTTTTACAATTCACTTTTACATCAGCAGGCTATAAGCCTCCACACATGAGCCCGGTATTATGACTCCACATGTATACTCTGCTTGATTTCACTACAGCAGGATTTCATGAGAAGCTGTAATAAAGTTCAATTGATGTTTTTTCAGTCTCATCAGTAAAATTTCCAAATGTGTCGTAAATAGACCTGAGCCCATTAGGACTCCCCAAGAACTTGCAGTTGTATAAAACATGTCCAGATTGGTGACTCTAAATTGCACATAGGAGTGTGAACATGCCAGGTTGTGTGTGGCCTTGTGATGGACTGGTGACCTGTCCATAATCTATCCTATCCCCCTGTACCCTCCCTTAATATGTGACAAGCACAAAAACACAATTTGTGATAAGCAGAATTTAAGGTATAAATTGTTCTTATTTTTTCAGGAAAGTTTGGCCGACACGCACACCTGCCGTTCTTAAGACCCCCTCTCACGGCAGCTCTGCTCACTCTGGGAAAAGCCCACCAGGTCAGTATAAAGTACATCTGATGAGTTTAAGGTGTGTGGACGCCAATGTGTTTTTTTACGGGATGTGTCTTGTGCTTGATCCGGCAGAACGCGATGGTTGGGAATGGACTGGTCCTGCAGAACCTGCTGCACATGCAGCTGGCGCAGCAGCAGCTTCTGCACATCAAAGACAAACGCCTCAGCAGCGTAAGCCTCCCGTTTGTGTTCAAATGATGATCTGCCAGCTATGAGTTTACGCAAACTACAGATTGAAACAACACCCTCAGTAGCTGAAGTTTCTTTTGACATTTCCATTTACAATTTCAGTATCTTTTATTTGCTGCTTCCGAGAAAGCTGAAAATGCTGTTAACCAGACGTTGGGTGCTCCATTTTAAATATCACCGCGTTGTGTTATGTACGAGTCTGTTGTAATTCTTTTTCCTCTCGCTTTTCCAAAAACTGCCATGGGTAAAACAGTTTTGATTGGCAGAAAAGAAAGGTTCATGAAAAAAATTCAAACTGTTTGCCGTGCTGCAGATCTTGTCCGTTATATTGCATATTTGTTCCTGCTTTGGAATGTTTTTGAATCAGAGCTGTTTCATAAATTGAAACAGGTTTATACTTTCTTTCCATGCTTGACGTGTCATTTCTTTTTTGGGTAAATGTGTTTGTTTTGTGTTGTTTATTTCTTATTCCTTTCCCACCTGAGCAGGTTTCCAGTCTGCTCGGGGACCCGTCCAGACTGCTGATGCAGAAAGCTTTGTCTCTGCGGCCTCCAGGTCTCCTGCCGCTGGGGAAAGGCCTCCTTGGAGACTCCCCAACAGGTCAGATTAGCCCATCTGCCATTCATAGACTTACAATAAAGAGCTTTGTGTAATCTCTGTAAAGAAATTAAATCCTATTAATACTTGCCATTCCCTTCATTATATATCTATTATACCTCATTTATCACATTTTTGGAATATTTTCTTTTTTTACTCCCATTTTAATATGTTTTACTGGTCATGCAAAAACTCCATGTTTTCTTTATCATTGTTTATTCCCCTAAATTGTTTCTAATCAACTTCACAGAGGTGTCCAACTTTTATGTGACATTCTGACAGTCTTTGTGGCCACTTTCATTGGATTACATCCGGAATTCTGATTAGATAGAAGACAGGATTCTTAAAAAAACAAGCCTTTAATATCAACCAAATGCTTGCTGGATGTTCCACCCAAATAATTTATTTAGAATTTTTAAACCAATCAACACTTTGCTATAGAAAGGCCGTCCTACAAACATATCCAGAGACTGCCTGTATAAGTTTGTAAATCTCATCCCAATGAATGCATGGATTTTCCAATTATTAATAATTTATGATTTATGAATATTTTTGTCCAACATGTCAACTTAAATCCCTCAATAAGCATTCGATTGGGTTTTGATGTGGTGTTTGTATACAGTTTACTTTGTTTTCATAATCCACAAACTCTTCAGCAGCCCCTTCAGTCCTTTAAAGGGAGATATAATGCTGGAGGAGATCTCTTCCATCAGGAGGGATGTGTTAATACCCCTCCGTCACCACCTGAAGATGCTGACTTGCATCTTGTCAGGGCAGAGCGTCGCAGTCACACATTACTCTACAAAACACACCCGGCAGCAGTGAATTTACTATTTCAATAACCAGCTGACAAAAGTCATGTTTTAAATGGAAATTGTTTGTGCTGTGTTATACACACACACTGTGCACACAGACACAGTCACAGTGGATGTGTTCTGATGGATTTGTTGCTCTGTCCTTTGATTCCTGTATGAGTTTTCACTTTTGTGCGTGTGTATGTGTGCGATGTAAGGCTTTCATCAGTGTCGGCTGAGAATGTTACCTTAAGGCTGATTCTTTTATTGTGCTATAGAGGCCATTTGTCACAGCAATATTGGATTTGTAATAAGTGAGACTTTGTGTGTTTTCCTTCTGTGTGGATGCACATCTTTAAATTATGAGTTGTTTTGAAGACTTTTGGGCATGAGCATGTTTTCTTTTCTTTTTTTTCCTTCTGTATAAGGTCTGTGGGTACATATTTTGTTAATAAATCCTGCAGTAAATGAGATATTGGGAGTGTGCATCTAAGTGCTGAGCTATAAAAGAACATGATACGTGATCATGTGTTGGCAGGAAACCGATTCTCAAATATTACAGCCAGCTGAGCTCTCAGATTCCATCTGTCTGAGTGGTTTGTTTCTGTCCAGTCAAGACAGACACTGATGGTCATCAGTAAAAGCCATTGGAAGTGTGTATCTGGCATCTGTCCTCACCTGGAGTATTTTATGCCCTTTAAATGAATTTTCTTCACTTTTTTGTCTTTACACTGTATCTGAATGTTTCTTTCTTTGATTATTCCCTCATGTTTTAATCTGTTTTTCTTTCTTATCCCCCTCCCCCTTGTTATTTTTTCCTCCCAGAGTTGGGTCAGGAGTCACTGGCACCTTCCACCCACAATTCAACAGCAGTGGTATCAGCGGCAGGTGTGATGCCATACCTCCAGGGCCGAGCTGGAGGAGGGCTAGATCAAAACATAACCCAGTCTGTGTCCACAACTGCTCCTGCATCCTCCTCCTCCTCCTCCGCCTCCAACCCGTCTACCAGGCAGCCGGCTCCTCCTGGGACGATGATGAATGCCCAGGCACAGGGGAAGAGCTATGCCTTGGGTATAAGTAACTCAGGGCTCGGCCCACCTCTGCCTAAACCCCCCGGAGGAGTTTATGCATCAGCAGGCCATCAGAACAGCTCAGAAGGTAGCAGCCTGACTAATATGGTGAGCACAGCCATCACACCTACAAGCATACACCAAAATCCCACCAATGAATGTGTCTTTAGGCACATCATTTATAAGTAGAGAAAGCTCATTGTCCAGTCTAAAGGAACATGGATGAGTAGTTCCTACATTTGGATTGACGTATGTTTTCTATTAAGTTTTCATAGACACAGCGCTAAGTACTAAATGGTATTAAAGGAATAAGTCAATTGTTGCATTAAGCCTCCTGTCAGATGTGATTCCTGGTGCTTATGTCAGGTCAAAGTGCTAATTGGGGGGAATTTTCTTTCATTAATATTGTCCTTCCACTAAACTTGATAAATTTGAGACATCCATCTTTAGTCGGCACGGGACATGCATTATGTGTGTTTTTTTTCTTATGCCAGAACAATGACTGAATGGTGGTTTACATTTACTAAATTAGAGATGAAACTCGTAAGCAACTTGTTGTGTGAATGTTTAGGTTCTAAATCATACTGTTCTAAAGAGGTTAACCCATGACTAAATACTGACACTGTTAGAGTGATGCTAAGCCACTCTCTCCCCCCACCCTGCCACCCTTGCTACTCTCTTGTGGTTTTTATTCTTCTTTTAGCTTCATCAGCTTTACTGAAAACACAGACAGCACAAAACCAAACAGTCTCAGTCCCAGTAGGATTTTTCCTTTGAGGGATTCCCATAATGCACCTCTCTCACCTCTATTTTTTTAAAGCTGCTGGAGAGCTGTTGTCAGCCTCTCTGCCTGCCCGGCTGTCTCACCTGCTCTGACAGCTTGTGCCAGCCTGTCTCCTCACCTACATTTCCTTTTTTCCTTTGTGAGGCCTCGAGTAATTCCAGCACTGCTCTGCTGCTCTAACCTGTTCGTTTGTTATAAGTGAGTGTGCGGAGATAATCACAATGCTGAAGTTCTTAGGGGAACAGAATTGGGTCCCGGCGCCGACTTCTATTAGGTCCTTTTAATGAAGAGAAGAGTAATTAACAGAACAATTTTTACAGGTTCACGCGGCCTCTTCAACAGCTCATAACATCTGATGTTAAAGTCAGATGCTGACTGAAGACTGAAGTTTCTTTGACACAAAGATCTGGACGATGAGGGCAATGGAATTAATAAAACAGTTAAAATGCTTTTTTTTCTCCTCAGTCAAACAGCGGTCAAAGTTCTTTGCTGGGAGATCCTCCTAAAGAAGTCAGACTGCCCTCTAACCCATATCTAAACCTGGCCAGTGTAATGCCAGGAGTTGTTTTGCAAGGTAAGCACACACAGTTAATGAGAGTTAAGGTATCTCTGTTGGGTATTTACATAGCTTCCAAATTCCCCACATCGCCTCTAGTGATGCATCCACAGAGCTATGCTAGAACAGCACCAATTCTCAAACATGTAACATTTCTGATGGTGCATATGGACTGATTTTATGGGAAATAAATGTCCTTTGTTAAGTAGATATAGGTATAGGCCATAATTATACATTTAAACTGTGCTAAGTCAACCTGCTGCCTTACAGTGTGGAGACACTAACATTTCCGAGCCACCTTTCTACACAACAGAAAAAGAAATGCGACACCGGAAACATTATGCTCAACGTTGTGTTTCAAGTGTTCCTAGCTTACCCATTTGAACCCCGCACCCTGTATCTTCTGCATGCTTCTTTCCATCCCTGCTCACGATCAGTGGGGAGCAAACCCCAGGGAGGGCAGCCCCCCTCTGGGGCGTATGGCAGTGCGGTTAATCCCATGGCCTCCCAGGCGTCCACCTCGACAGTGACAACACCTGTTCCATACAGCTCCGACGCCTCCGCCGACTACAGCCAGTACAACCAAGCCTACACGCAGGTACGGCCCACACGCTCAGATATGCCGATAGACGGCCCTGCATGGTCACAACTGGCTAACTGGACCAGGGAGTCGAGTCATGGAAGATTTAAGTGAACAGATTATTGAAATCAGTGGATGGTGCAGAGCAGCAGTGACAGTGAACTGTAACTAGGGGGAAGCAGGGAAGTGGAGGAGATGAAAACAGTTTGGATATTTGGACAGACAGAATGAGAGTGGATTTGTGGATTTGGCAGTGAACACTGTGCGCATCCATCTGTCCCTTCCCGAACCCCTCCCCCCCTTTTTTTTCTCCTCCCCCCACTCAAAACAAGTCATGACGCCCTCCTGCTGGCTGTTTGTCTACTCCTCTCATCCTTTATTTCTTTTTCTCCTGTCACTCTTTCCCCTCGTCGTGCCTTCCACATCAGCATATGAAATAGCTGATATTTTGAAGCAAGATGAAAAACTCATTTAAAATGTTAATGACAATCTACTTATCTAAACAAATGAGTCATAATTGGATAACCAATTCAACGACTGGTTTAATTTGTCTCGAAAGGCAAGAGGAGGAAACAAGGGAGAGGAGTTGTCAGGAGCAGTGATGCCAAAAAAAAGAGGACAGATTTAAGAGGGAGGCAAGGGAAATTGGCAAAAGCTAGAAATGATTGCCCAAACATTACCTGTCCTCTCTGTTGGCCGTCGTCCTGTGCCACAGGAGGCCATGCAGCAGTGGTACCAGCACTACCAGACAGCACAGGCTCACACCTACACCCCAGCCGCTCCACAGGACACCACCGCGTCAGACTACAGCAAGGAACACACACAGGTAACACACAGCAGCTGCATGGTGGCTGTCACTTTGTCACAACCAAGAATCCCCATTTGAATATTTTCGTGAAAGGAGAAAATGTGAAAAAATCCTCTCCCTATGACACAAAGAGAAGAACAATATTCTGTTGCTCAGCAATAGAAAATAAATGTGTAAAGGGCACTGTTAGAGACCTTTTTATTCGAAACCTTGATTTTTAAAGGATGTATCAGACACTTACATTACTCTGTTATTTGTCAGAGACGTAGATGTTCTCTTGGAGCCTAACTTGAATAATTTGTGTTCCAGACTCCTGCAGTGACATCCTATGGTGATTATGGTTCCTACATGCAGGCTGTCACTCAGTACTACTCACAGCCGGCCACAGCCAGCCAAGCCTACGGCAGCAAGGTACACAGACACACCAGTAATACACACTTTGACCACATTTAACACCACCACAAGTGGAAATCAGGTTGTTGCCTTTTTAAACATTTTCTACACTGTTTAGATGGTTTATATTACTTTCCATCTTGCAATGCAGTCCATCTTTCTTTATGTTTCCAGTCTTGTTGCAAAATTTGAAATAGTTCATTCTGAAAAGCTTTTATGACACAGTGCAAACAAGAGAACCATAAAAAGGTGTTCAGAGTTGCATATGGTGTTATTTTTCTCTATGCCTATGCCTTTTTTCAAAGAAAGAAAGAAAGTCTGACTAAGATGACCATGCAGCTCTCATGGCTCATTAAGTTCAGTTTATCCTTTCCTAGGGAATAAACTGGACCAATTTCTTTCTGGCATGAAAAAAAACCATTCCCAGTTGAATTCCCAAGGAAATCTCTATATTTATTTCTCATATCTGGCTGAGACAAGATGTTCCACATTGCTCTCATCAGACATTTGGATGTTCCTCATGATTTGAGGAAAGATTTGCAGAAAGAAGAGGCAGAAAGGTTTTCCCCTCTGAGTTGTTTGTCGTCATAACAAAAGTTGTCTCTAGGCATTTGTTCATTTTAAATGATAGCTTTATATTTGCCTCTTCAGCTTGCCAATGGAGTGTGTAACATATTGCAGTTTTCCAAAAAATAATAACTTTGCCAGTTTTTACTGAACTTAACTAGGTCTCTCCTCCAGACTAAGAGTTAACTGCCTCCTATATGCATGATGGCATTTCTACAAGGTTTGTCTGAATGTTTATTTGGAGAGGGTGACACCGATACCCTCTTTGAGGGAACACATCACTCTACACTAAGCAGCTGAAACCAGCCCTCCGCACACACAGCCAGGTCCGGCCTTATCTGCTGTGTGCGTGTACATACGTTATCGCTAATGCTGCAAGCACACAAATCATTTAGCCTACATTCACTGTGGAGGGCCCCGTGTCCCTTATGGGGCTGAAATGTAAAACTGCATTGGTTAAAGAATAATGTTGTGTTTGTTAGGAAGACTATAAAATCAGTTTGTGGTTTTTTATCACAATGGATCAGTGTAAAACATTGTCATTTCCTTTAAAGTCACACAAACACAACTGCCTGTGTGAGGTGTTTGCTCACATCTTTCCCAGGATGTTGTGAGGAAGACCTGTTCTGCTCTACTCAGTTCACTGGCTGTGGAAAGATGTGTTAAACTGATGTAGTGATGGTTCAAATATAAAACTCTGGCTCTAAATTATACGAAAGTATTTTTGTATAAAAACATACTTATTAAATTAAGCTTTTTGCTCTTTGGAGTGGAAAAAAAACTGCACATATAATCAGTTATAAGTTATATGAAGGAATCTAACCCAAAATGACCACTAGATGGCAGGATAGTTACCATGGATGGTATATTATTACATGATGTCAAATATCAAATAATAATAAGCTAGTAGGGCAAGAGGTTAACAAGAGTTTGGAGGGTACTTTCTTTTTCCTATTTAGATGTGTTTTGTGGGTTTAATGTTTCTAATCTCTTGTTGTTGACCAACCTTTTGTGTTTCCTGTAGGATTTAGATGTGTGTAAGCCTCTGGGAGTTCCTCTGCACGCCGTCAGTAACGGTGCAGGTCCCCCCCCGGCGGTCCTGCCGGCCGCCGCCGTGCTCCCGGCCTACGGCGCCCTCCCTTTAATGCCCGGCTTCCTGGGGGCGCCGCATCCTGCCGCCGCCCCACCAAACCCCGTCACGCACGCACACACCGCAGCCCCCGACTGGAGCGCATACTACTATGTGAGTCAAGCAAAACGTGTCGACACACAGTCCACGTAGTGACCTCGGAGAAAAGATGTTCTTGGCGTTTTTCTGTGTTTTTTTTGTGTGACTAAATGACAGCACAGTCAGCTCGGGTTAAAAGCAAAGTCCAAACATTGGTACGTCAGAATGTCTCCTTTCATCTCTGATTGGAGCTGGCGGCTGGTTGTTGACAGCAGAGATCCTTATGCAAAAGGATCACTGGTCACCTCGCTCACCTTTCAGAAAAAAATCAGCTCCCCATTTCTGACTTTTTTCATCCTTCACAAACATGACCATGGAGTTGTTTCACAACCACATTGTGAAGTGCATGAGTCTTCAGCAGTAGGTCAGAGTTGTTTGCTCTGAAAATGAGTTTACTCTAGCTGCTAGAAAAAACAAACCAAACGTGCTGTAGCTGGAAGAAGCTGCAGCACTATTACTCTCATTCCATTTTTATAATAAACAGCTTTGGTGATGAGATGAAAATCTTGAATTGAAATAGTCTTAGTCATAGTAAAATTATTCAGAATAATTTATTTTTGTAAGTGCAAAGTTTACTGGTAAGAGGAAAGACAATTCTAAAGATTGTTATTTAGCTATTTTTTCATCATAAATTAATGTCTGGGTGCACAAGTCACTTGTTTATGGTTTTGCATTTACATCCAACATGTGTCATTTGGGATTGTACATGAGTTTCAAAGAGGGCACCAAAGTTCAGAAGAATCCCTTTTTTTAGGATTGAAAAAAAAAAAATCATTTCCATATATTGCCTCCACGTTGAAGCCATGAAGTAGCAACTATATTTAACCCTTCTCTACCTCTGACCTTTCTTCTTCGTTACCTCTGTCACACAGAACCAGACGCGGGGCATTAAAAGGGAGTATCCTCAGCTGGCGGTGCAGGAAGTGCCACCGGCAGAGGGTACCTACATCGGGCAGCACTCCCAGGGCCTGGGGGGGCAGTATGCCGACTACTTTAAGAGGAAGAGGCTGTGAATGAACAGAACCACCGTAACGCCTACAGCTTAGGGAGGCAGGCACAAACTGCTGCTCGTCACGGCTCCCTCTCGTGGCCTTCCTGTGGCTGCCATTTTGCATCCCAGTAGTAGTTACGGAGGTCTTTAGAATTAGGGTTGCAAATGGCTCAAGTGAAAGCAAGCCATAGTGCTTTTTCATTTTTGGCACTCATGTACACATACAACTACACAGTGTTGCTTTTGTCCTGTTGAAGCCTTAACTATATAACTTAAACAGTTGTTTTTTCAGTGTGTTGAATGTATTTTACTTATATTACCTTGTACTTTTTTTTTTTTTTAATATGCTGTAAGCTGAAATATATTGTGTCTGTATGTATACGCTGCTTTTGTATCTGCAGGCAGGTGAGCTGTCTGTTTTGCTGGAGCTGTGTTAGGACTTCTCATACAGGCAGGTCTCTCCTTCTCACCTCCTCTTTAGAAGACTAAAAGCGTCTGATGTCGCACACTCATGCTTTGATTCTTCAGTCAGACTGACATCTGTGTACTCGCGCTTCACTGCCTTTTATTACCCAGATTCCTCTTTAAATCTCCCCACAGAGAGTTATTGTTTGGGTGTTTTGTGTGTGTGTGTGTGTGTGTGTGTGTGTGTGTGTGTGTGTGTGTGCGCGCCTGAGTGTGTGTCGCTATGCTGTATCTGTAGGAAGTGTCAGCCATTTTAATCCCAAGGTTTGGGAAAACATCAGGAAAAAAAGGGCGTGAATCAATCAAAGCCCTTTATTGTAACAAATTACAATAGCTTCCCTCTACAGATGGACCTTTCTGCTAAAGACTGAGAAAAGAGTGTAAAAAAAAAGGCTGTGTAAATACTGCAGTGTGTTATAGAATATTTATGAAGCCATGCGTAACAGACAATAGCATTTAATAGATTGGCTGTTTCCAAGTTCATTTGTGAGTGTGTTGTACAACACAAATGGATCGAAATCTTAAATGTCACTTTGTTTTTGTTTTGTTTTTTTGATCAATCTACTCTATACTCTTATATATTTGTAAAATAATAATATTCCAAGGCAATTCAAGTAATGTGTTAATATTGGGTCATATTATAAGGACTTAAGTATTTTTTTTGTTTCTTAAAATGGACCCAAATAACTGGGCATAGCCCCGTTCCTTTTTCTTTTGTTGTAGGACATTTGAATCTTTTTTTCAGGAGGCTTTGTTGAGAGCTGTAACGGGAGCGTTACCTGCACACATGTTCCATAAAAGGCTTGACTCCAGGAGTGTGAGTGCACTGCAGAAATAAGGACGTTATTTAATCATTTCTTGTTTTGTTTTTTTCTTATTTTATTTTCTATTCTAATAAGGTAGTGCAAATATTAACTGTAACTCTACGGAATGACACCACGAAGGCAGAGTGAAGTGGAGTCTGAAGCAGCATGTCATTTATTTATTTATTTATTTATTTTGACATTTATGTTGTTTTCTGAACCACTCGTGCAGCAAATGTTGATTTCACATTTTAATGGGGGGGAAGAACTTAAATGTCATTGTTGATTTTTGAAGAGATTTCTTAAATATATTATTTGAAAAAAATAGAGATTAGTTTTTTTTTTCCCATTGTTCACAACCTATTTCTACAACTGCATTTACTTAGATTAGCGCATAGTCAGTGTGCAGTTTGATTTGTGCTCATCACACAGGAGAGCGTTTGTTATTTTCACGTTACTGTTGGGACTTTAATATTCATGTGCACAAACCTATTGTAAACAGGCAATAACTAAGGCTCCTACTGCTGTAGAAAGATGAATGTACAAGTTGATTATTTTGTATCTTAAATGTTTTTAGCCATAATATACTGATACTGGCTCATACGCACAGTGGAAGCTTTCTCTTTCTTTGGTTCATTTTTGTGTTCTTGCATTCTGCTCATAATTACAAATATGTATATCTCAGAGCAAAATATTATTTGCATCGCCATAGCAACCACATTGCACACTGTGAAAACCAATAGCATGGTGGGATAGATGTCTTGTCTACTTGCAGGTATAGTAATGGGAAGGATGGGGGATACCAGTGGGGCAATAAACACACACACACACACATATTCCACCAACAATTTGCTTACTCTAATGGCTCGTGGTTTGATTTCATTGCAACTTGTGTCACGGTGTTTGAACTTACTGTTCAATGTTAGAACTATGACACATTTTCAGATAAACATCTGCAAAGTGTTAAAAAGCAAAAAAGTGAAGACGAGGTTTAATATACACTTAAAAAATGTAGTCAGGAAGCATTTGAGTTGACTCATTACAACCTAAAATCTGTGGACCATAACATTTTTCAGGCGTATGTATGTATGTATGTATGTATGTATGTATGTATGTATGTATGTATGT